TTGTTCTGTATCTATCTGTAACTCTCCCTCTCAGCTCTACTCAAAGTGAAACATATCTCTTGGAAGTAATTCAGAAATCTAATAAGCTTTTTTTGTGTTTTAACTAGCTTGGTAAAATATTGCCTGGGTGTTTATACTTCTATAATTTACTTGCCTAGTTGTGTGGCCTAACCAGACTTTCTAGTTTCCACATTTCTGACTCTCCCATATAATCTTTCACAGATGCTTTTTAAAGATGCATTTGATGGAACTTAGCTCTAATTCTTCTTGAGTTTGCACTTTAAATTCAAGCAGCATGTAATGAAAATAAAATATTGCAGACTGAGCAGTGGTGCAGAGGTAATTCTAGAACACAATACAGTATATTATGGATTTTTTTCACTTCTAGCCCTGGACTGAAGCTGATGTACTTTCTACTTTCCTATCCGTAAGAGCACAGTATCCCTCCCATCTTTCCCTTTGCCTGCTGGCAGAGAGTCCAACCCAGCACTATTACTGGGTTTACTGGGTTCACGTCTTATCCTGCCCATCCCTACCTGAGTTCCCATGTTGCTGCCAGAGTCAGCCTTTCCCGTCCCCTAACCAAGTCCTATTGGAAAGGCAGATGTGATTACATACCCACATTGTATCATTTTCATTGTTATTCGGGTGGAAACACAATTCAACAAGAACAGCATTGAAGGGTCTAGGCCCGAAACGTCAGCCTTTCCTGCTCCTGTGACGCTGCTGGGCCTGCTGTGTTCATCCAGCCCTGCACCTTGTTGTCTCTAGAACAGCGTTGGGACTTGGATAAGGCAGATTTAGACTCTGGAAACCCAGATAAGATTTATGTAAGTGGCAGATGAAAATGATCTGGAAGCTTTTGTGTTTGAATATATAGCAGCCCTGTCTCAATCCCTCAAGATTTTTATGTGTACAGGATGCTATGGCCAAATGATATTATTGCTAGACTGCTAACCCAGAGACCCAGGTAGTATTCTGGGGATAGTAGGAACTGCAGATGCTGGAGAATCTGAGATAACAAGGTGTAGAGCTGGATGAACACAGCAGGCAAAGCAACATCATAGGAGCAGGAAGGCTGACGTTTTGGGCCTAGACTCTTCTTCAGAAATGGGGGAGGAGAAGGAGGTTCTGAAATAAATAGGGAGAGAGGGGGAGGCGGATAGAAGATGGATAGAGGAGAGGATAGGTGGAGAGGAGACAGACGGGTCAAAGAGGCGGGGATGGAGCCAGTGAAGGTGAGTGTAGGTGGGGAGTTAGGGAGGGGATAGGTCAGTCCAGGGAGGACGGACAGGTCAAGGGAGCGGGATGAGGTTAGTAGGTAGGAGATGGGGGTGCGGCTTGAGGTGGGAGGAGGGGATAGGTGGGAGGAAGGACAGGTTAGGGAGGCGGGGACGAGCTGGGCTGGTTTTGGGATGCGGTAGGGGGAGGGGAGATTTTAAAGCTTGCGAAGTCCACGTTGGGCTTCAGGGTTCCCAAGCGGAATATGAGTTGCTGTTCCTGCAACCTTCGGGTGGCATCGTTGTGGCACTGCAGGAGGCCCAGGATGGACATGTTGCCTGAGAAATGGGAGGGGGTGTTGAAATGGTTCGCGACTGGGAGGTGCAGTTGTTTAGTGCGAATCGACCATAGGTGTTCTGCAAAGCAGGGGGTGGCAATGGGTACCCGCATGGGCCCAAGCTATGCCTGCCTCTTTGTAGGTTACGTGGAACAATCCCTCTTCCATACCTACACTGGCCGTCAACCCCACCTCTTCCTCCATTACATTGATGACTGTATCGGCGCCGCCTCGTGCTCCCACGAGGAGCTCGAACAGTTCATCCACTTCACCTTCCACCCCAACCTTAAGTTCACCTGGACCATCTCTAATACCTCTCTCTCCTTCCTGGACCTCTCTGTCTCCATCTCTGGCAACCATCTAGAAACCGATATCCATTTCAAGCCCACCGACTCCCATAGCTACCTAGAATACACCTCCTCCCACCCACCTTCCTGCAAAAATGCCATCCCCTATTCCCAATTCCTTC